CCACTCATCCAAATGAGTTTTTCGACGAGTTACACATCGTCGAAAGGGTCTTTGACATCAGAGACTTGACAGAAGACCAAAAGGTCACGATTTATGATGAATCTGATGAAGAGCAAGATGATGAGAATCACGTTATGGATGCTCTAGTTTATTGCGAATTCCTTATGTATGATAAGTATGATTGGGAGCAAGATGATGAGAATCTAGAGGTGGAAGAAATCTCTTGTAGTGATTTCGGTGGAAAGTCAGTTATTAGAAATTCTAATATCTCTAACAAAGAGGAAGTTCTACCCAGAGATATCATGCGAAATAATCCTTCATTCAAGAAGTCTTTAGTTTGCAAGCAGTATTATGAATTTAGGGACAACAGGCGTAACAACCTCATGCTCCATGGAGATAAAGACATAGCTTTTGTTAGAAGCTTAATTAGAGATCGTTGTGCCCAGGGGAAATGGGACTTGTAGTTACATCATACAGATTTTCCTATAATGGGTACAGATGCGATCATTGAACCAAACTGCAGGCAATATTATTCTAGCAATAGTTTATGGGTTTTGTCCTTTATGGAGCTACATGATTGGAGCAGATTAAATTCATACATATCCTCCCCTGCTAAGGAATTGCATTCACAAGCCTAAAATTACTAAAGATTGTACTTCTTCAATGTAACTTCAAGGATTAAGTTTATTGTGAGTTCGCAAAACCCATATCTTGCTGGGTATCTGTGACCCATTACTTGTCTTTGTCATACATAAGAGCAAGCTTCTAAAATTTCTAATTACTTACGCCTGTTGTCCCTAAATTCATAATACTGCTTGCAAACTAAAGACTTCTTGAATGAAGGATTATTCTGCATGATATCTCTCGGTAGAACTTCCACTATACGATTTTTCACACTTCCTGGGAAAACTTCCCAGGAGGTCACCCATCCCAGAATTGCTCCAAGTTAAGCATGCTTAACTGTGAAGTTCTTCTCTTTCGAGCTACCGAAAAACAGATGCATCTTGTTGGTATAGGTAGTACCAATTAATTCTTATAAGCTATCATGAACTATGCAGTCTCATACCTGCACAGTCTTTGGAATCCTTTCTTTCTGGTGTCGATTCGATTCATTCATGCATGTAATCCCCCGCTGGAAGCCTGTCAGGAGCCACTCCTTGTCCGTGCCTCTTTGCACTGGCGATCACTTCCCGCCCGCATCAGCGCCCGGGATGTTACAATATACGTCAGTCGATTCACCTCTAATACATCCTTAATGGCCTTCTGGTTTGCCTCTTTAATGGCATCCATCATAGCCTAGTTGGCCGCACTAGTTGCCTCCTGATCGGTCTGTCTAGCTGCATGCATCTCAGCTAATACAGTCAAGATAGGATCAGGCTGACCCTCATTTGTCTCTCGAGTTCTCCTAGAAGGCGCCTTAACTCTGCACATGTTATACAAAGGATGAGTTGATCAAGTTCACACAATGTGGTCACACAAGCATTATCATAGCAAGACCTAAAAGAAACTCCCAAGACAACTTAGACTAACAAGGCATCTTAGGTTATTGCAATACATAAGGATATTTCCCTAGAAAGTTTGCTCTGATACCATAAAATGTAACACCCCATGTATACCCGAATTGTTATCATATTACCGTATTAAGCACAACTCAATTAAATGCGGAAGCTAAAATAAAACTAGTTATTAGGCATGCAAGATCACTTTTTCTTTATTAACATGGCAATATAAAATCCATCTATATCCTTATTTAATTGCAAAACCACAATATAAATCCTAAAATGCCTCCATAACATAATTAAATACTAAGTCATGAAGCTACATCACATAGTCATGACCAACGTCCATATCTCATGGCGTAAACAAAACATACTCGTCCAACCAAAGACCAATATCAAATAAGGCATGGACAACCCCCATGCTCACAACAAATATAACACAAGCATAATAGTCATATCTCAGATACAACAATCATGTCCAAATGATATATATCATGCATGTGTGCTAACAAGTCTACTGGCCAGAGAACGATATGACTTACACACGTCTACTACATACACAAGAAGTATAAGGCTCTTGCCTTATACCCACACTCAGGAAATACAATCTTGTGCAGCTCCAGTACATTACACTCATGTATTAGCCATTTTGTGTGTAATACACCACATAACATACATATATAAGAGTGCATCATTTCATCATGTCAAATAACAGGTAAGCACATATACCACATAAAACTACCATCCCCTTCTTGGAGTATGGTGGAACAAATGGGGATTAACCCTGAGAACACAGAACTTACCTGTCAAGTAGTATACTCAAGCTTAAAATCCAAACAGCATTCCACAAGTCACAAAACAGCAGGATCAAGGTCTGTTTATAATATAAATATCATCAATACTCATGCTCTATAATTTCAAGCCAAAAGGAATATGTTTTCATTTTCATTTTCGCTTATTGTAGGCTTTCCTCAAAGCCTTAAGCCTTAAACCGCGTTTACTCTTTTTAAACTTTAATTGTAAATTTTTACCGAAAATTCTAATATTTTAATATGTTAAACTAGACATCTCCGGCTTTACAATGACATATTTTATGTCTCATTCGGAGTTGTATAACTCCAATTATGTTTTACGCAAAAGTGACTGTTACAAACAGAATTTCCAACAACCAAAATGCCAATTCAAATTGATACTGCGATCAAAACACTTATCCAATGGCTATTAAATTTTACAGAGTTGTATCCCTATGTGTTAGCTTCACATAGGTCTAAACGGCACTCGATTTGGAGCTCTATAGCTCAAGATATCGCAATTTTACCAAACTAGTGTGTTGTTGTCACATTCGCACTAGGTAATCGATTACCGTACAGGGGTTAATCGGTTACCATTCATGGTAATCGATTATCACTCTAAGGTAATCAATTACCACCTGTGCAGAAACGCGAAAATGTAGATTTTTTTGCATAATTCGAGCTCCAATGGCCTCCCAAGGTTCCCACCTTTGATTTACCCATAAACAGAAGTTGAAATTATCATATTACACTTAAATTAACAACCTTTTACTTGAATCATCAAAGTTTCCCTTTTTAAAAGACTCAAAAAAGCTAAATTACAAAGGAAATTATGATAGGTTACCTTAGGAATTTCAAAAATAAAATGAGAGAACTTTGAGGGCTTTGCAGTTGCTCCAAGCCACTGCCCAAATGGTGAATGAAAATGACAAAGACAGGTTGGTTCTTTCTCTTTAAGTTTGGTTCCTTGAAGCTTGAAAGTAGCTGGAAATGGCTCCAACTCTACAAAACACACAAGGATACACTCCTCACTCACCAAGGCAGCAAACACACTCTTTCAAGATGCTCACTTTCTTCACTAACTTCACAAACTCAAGGTGTTTACATGGGTGAAATGATCAATGATGAAGAAAGAATGAATCTTGGTGCTTTTTCTTAAAGAAAGGCTTTGTATTTCATGAAGAACAAAGGGTGGCAGAAATAAGAGGATGAGAGGCTGTATCTACATGGGTGTTATAAATTCTGACCCAGGATTTAGTGCCATTAGCTATTTATAAGTGCACTCACTTAAACTAACAGTATTAGTTTAATTTATTCCGCCCTTCGTTTAACTCTAAAATTTTATATTCTTAACCTAGACATTTTTCAAGGAATTATCATATTTTTACATTAATTTTTCGAGACACTTTACCAATACACATTTTACACATAGCCGCTATTAATTTAGACATCACTCATTTTCTTTACTCCAAAACTGATATCATTGGCCTAGATATTTTTCTAAGAATATTTGTATTTTTATTATAATTTTTTAGAACACTTCACCAGTACGCATTTATACCGTGAAGCAGAGCCGGTATTCGCACTTTTATCAGAAAGAGACTTAAGCATTTATACTGTAGATGTGTGGTCATCAGTCGTCGTTGTTAAGGGTATTACCACACCCTCTACCGCCGCACTGTCGCCTTGACCCCATTTTCCACGAGCTCGAGCTCGAGTTCGACCGTCATTGTTCTGTTCAGCCATTTATGTGACAACCAGAGCTCTAATTACCAAATAATGCCGAAACAATAACCAATTGGCTAAACAGAAAGAAAGAACGAAACACAAATTGCGAGAAAACACTTTTCACTTTTCTTAATTTTATTTAACCAAAAACGACCTGATAATAATAAGGTTCTACAAGCCTTAAATAGAAAAAATAAAAAAATAAAAAAATAAAAAAATAAATCACTATAACCATATGCAATCAAAGAAGATAACGCACGATCATCGCACACTCAAATATAATTTAAAAATAACAAAAAAAGAAATAATTCATAATTATGAAAATCCCTAAATTATGGAATAAATTATAGAAAAGCTCAATCCAATACCTTTTTTTTACAATGTTTTTTCATTATTAAAAAAAAGTTATTATAAAAACCTGCATATAAAAAGAGGTGGCCTAATAAATTCAGAGCATGCTTGATTTCCATCGATCGGATGAGACTATCTTCTAACAAGCTTAATTTTTTATTCATACGCAACCTGATTTTATTTTATTTTTGAACTAAACTTTAAAGTTATTCGCTATTTTCTAGTCAAGACAAACATTAATATTTTTATTTGTTAATTCGTATTTAAATGGCGTGGTCTTATTGTATCTTATCTATCACACATATACGTTAAATACATTTACATTCAAAATTTAAGAAGTGTATTTAGAATTTTTAATTATCAATTTACACACCCAGTTAATTAACATATAATTACAATTTCTTAAATTGTCTGTCATTATATCTGAATATATAGTAGAAAATGTAATTGATTAATTTTAATTTAAAAAATTACCTAATTGAGAGTAATTCAAAAAGTGCAATTAAAAAATAACTAATAAGGCATATGAAAATATAGTATGATAACTTAGTTTGGAAAATGTAAAGCGCGTACGATACACGCGTGCGATTTTTTCCTCTCTGTTAGGGTTTTCTGAGCTGTGACTGAGGAGATGGAGATGGTTGATGATGGATCTACAGGTGGGAGAGATCGAACGACTGAGGAAGAAGACTTGATTCTGCGGAGTGTGAAGAAACCTAAAGGGGTGACATTAGTTGATGACAACATGGACGATTTTATGCTGGAAAAGCTGGATGTTGAAGGTAGCGAAGAAGCCAAGGCTTCTTGCGCGGAGGGTGACTGTACGAAGAAGGAGGGTAATGGTACGAGGGTTATCTCGTACAAAGATAAGTTGTTAAGGCTGAATGAGGGAGAAGGCTTTTCGGAGGGAGAGGCAGACGATTGGAAGGAAATTCAACGCAAGGAAGAGGAGGAGGATGGGTGTGATGAGGATCTTAGTCACGGTGCTGTGGAGGATCCCCTATGTCCAGTTCTCCGTCTTTCTAAGAGCGAGCACAAGGGAAGTTGTAAACAGTGGAGGAAGGCCCTTATCATTAAGTTGATGGGGAAGAAAATAGGGACGCGGTTCTTGATGGCACGTTTGCAGAGGCTTTGGAACCTGGTTTCTACGTACGAGTTGATAGATCTGGATAATGGGTTCCTTCTCCTAAGGTTCCATGATGATGGGGATTACGTGCATGTGCTGGAGGAGGGTCCTTGGGTGGTTGCTGATCACTATATTGTGGTTCAAAGGTGGTTCCCTTTCTTCGACCCGTATGATGAAGACTTCAGGAAGCTTGCTGTGTAGGTGAGGGTCCCTGGGCTCCCAATTGAGTTGTACTCAGTCCATTACTTGTGGAAAATTGGGAATCTACTTGGGCGTACGCTCAAAATTGATAGAAATTCCTTGAGGAAAAATGATTTGGGGGATGTGGTTATCACTGAGAGAGCAAAGTTTGCAAGAATTTGTGTGGAAGTGGATCTTAGAAAGACACTGCTTTCGAAATTCACGGTTGATGATAAGGTATACCAGGTTGGATATGAAGGGATTCACCTTATTTGTTTTAAGTGTGGTGTTTATGGTCACAGGAAGGATAAGTGTGATGACTTATCTACTCAAAATCAGGGGAGACCTATGGAGGTGGATGTGAATGGTCAGCAGCCCTTGGAGGGAAATCCTGGTGTTGGTAGTAAGACAAGCCAGGAGGTTGAGGAAGCTTTTGGGAGTTGGATGGTGGTTCAGAAACCTAAGAGGGGAGGGAAACCTAGATTTGTCCAGGAGAAGAGGGTGTTTGTGAAGGAAGAGGTTCCTGTGGTTAGTTCGAAGGATGCTAGGGAGGATGTTAGGGGTTCCAGATGGGATGAAGGGGAAGGGAGTCTTGGTTCTCAGAAAGAAACGGGTGAGAAGGACTCTTCAATTCCTGTTTTGAGTTCGAACAAGAATGGTGATTCAAAGCAATCTGAGCCTAAAGGGGAGATGGTAGCTGGAATTGAGGGCAATGCTGGAGCTGCTAGTCCAAAGAACTCAACCAAGAGTTTGAGGCAGGACAGCTTGGGGCAGAAGAGAGGGATTCTGAAGGACAACAGAAGCAAGATTGGTAGTAGTGGTTCCAAGCTCAGTAAAGCAGCCTCTAGTGATCATAGGAAGGGTGAAGTTGAGAATCTTCCTCCGAATGCTGGTCAGAGTGGAGCTGAGCAAGGGAAGAAACCTAGGGCTAAAGTGAAGTCCTTGCCACTAGGAGGATATGGAGGCTCGGGTGAGGAGGTTCAAGCTAAGATTAAAGGTAAGGGGATTGAGGCCCCTGTTTTGTCTAATTCTTTTACTCCTATTCAGCAGGAGATGAGTATAGAGGACCAGCCTACTCCCTCAGGGGGTGTTAGGGCTGTTTTTAGCTACTAATTGTCTGTGTTGGGTGTTTGGCCCTCTGTTCTTAGTTTTGTTAGCTTTTATGTTCATTTGTTCTTGGAATTGTAGGGGGGTAGGGAAAAAAGAGTTTCCTGCCCTTATTAAAGATTTGAAATTTCGATTTAAGATTAGCATTCTGGCTTTAGTTGAGACTAGGATAAGTGGTTGTAGAGGGGATAAAATCATAAAAAAGTTGGGTTTCAATAAAAGCTTTAAACATGAGGCTGTGGGTTTTGCTGGGGGGATTTGGCTCCTATGGGATGACATGAAAGTCAAAGTCGAAATTGCTTATGACCATAATCAGTATATTCACACTAGAGTTGTGCATGTGGAGGATGACAGAAGTGAGTTTGTGACCTTTGTTTATGGCAACCCGAGAAGGTTGGATAGGCAGGTGTTATGGGAGAGGTTGGAGCTCATCTCTCAGGAGATGGTTGGGCCTTGGATTGTATTAGGGGATTTTAACTCTGTTCAAAAGGGGTGTGAGAAAGTAGGGGGAAAAGAAGCTTCCCTAATCAGTATGAATGAGATGAATTCTTGCTTGATGAATTGTGAGCTGGAGGATATAGGTTTCAAAGGTCCTAATTTTACTTGGAAGAGGGGAATTCTGCAGGAAAGGTTGGATAGGGCTTGTGCTAATGAAGCTTGGGTTCTTAACTGGCCGAATAGGTTTGTGACTCATCTTCCTTTCCTGAATTCTGATCGCAGACCTATATTGCTTGCCTACGATGAGGTCCATAAGGCTGATGCTAGGGAGAGACCTTTTAAGTTCCTTGCTTCTTGGATGACTGTTGATGGGTTTGAGGATGTTGTAAGGAGTAGCTGGAATAGATTCTTTGACTGGGGTCCTGCTAGAAATGAGTTTGAAAGGAGGGCTAAAGATTGGCACCATAGTGTGTACAGACTGAATATGAGAAAGAAGAATAACATATATGCTAGACTTAGGGGGATTGACAATTATAGGATGGGTAGGTATGACCATAGCATGGAGATCCTTCAGAGAAGCTTGTGGAAGGAGCTTCAGGAAATTTTGGTTAGGGAGGAGTTAGACTGGTTTCAAAGGTCTAGGTGCCAATGGCTGAAATTTGGTGATAAGAATACAAAGTTTTTCCATTCAGCTGCTATATCTAGAAGAAGGCATAATAAGGTGATTGCCCTTAAAGATGAGGATGGGAATTGGGTCAGTGACAAGGAGGAACTCTGCACTCTAGCAAGTTGTTATTTTGAGAAGCTCTTTGCTCCTGGTGATGTTGAGGTGGAGGAATTTCCAGTGAAAGGTTTGTTTCCCATTCTTGATAATAAGGAGTTGGACTAGTTGGCTAAAGTTCCTACTTTTGAGGAAATCCGAAGAGTGATTTTTAGAATGGGAAAGTTTAAGGCTCCTGGACCTGATGGGTTGCAAGCTGTATTTTTCCAAAGTCACTGGAAGTTGGTGGGGGATTCTGTTTGTAGGTTAATTGTGGTTATATTTCTGGATCCTGGGAAAGTCAAGGAAATAAACAAGTCCTTGATTTGCCTTATTCCTAAGAAGGACTGTCCAGAATGCATGAAAGATTTTCGGCCTATAAGTCTGTGCAATGTGGTGTATAAGGCAGTGACTAAGATCATTACTGATAGATTGAGGGATTTTATGCCCAGGTTGGTGGCTCCTAACCAGTGTAGTTTCATTAAAGGGAGACAAAGTGCAGATAATAATATTGTTGCACAAGAAGTGGTGCATTCCATGAAAGGGAAGAAAGGGGTAAAAGTTGGAAGATGATCAAGGTGGACTTGGAGAAGGCATATGATCGTCTCAACTGGAATTTTATTGAAGATACTTTGGAGGATTTGGGTCTTCGGAAGCAGCTGTCTGGTTTGATTCTTAATTGTGTTTCATCTAGCTCATTAAATTTACTTTAGAATGGGGGTCTGACAAAAGAGTTTAAGCCTAAGAGAGGGATTAGGCAGGGTGATCCCATTTCTCCATACCTCTTTGTGTTGTGTGTGGAGAGATTGGCTCATCTTATACAATTAGTTGTGGATACCAAAGCCTGGAAACCTGTTCTGGTTAATAAAAATGCACCTCCTCTCTCCCATTTATTTTTTGCTGATGACATTATTCTGTTTGCTGAGGCTTCCCTGGATCAAGCTTTTGTTATTAATCAAGTTCTCAAGGTGTTCTCTGCTGCCTCTGGCTAGAAAATCAGTGTGGAGAAGTCTAGAGTGTGTTTTTCTAGTAATGTGGGCTTCAATAGGGCTAAAGAGATTAGTGAGTGTCTTGGAGTGGGTGTCACTAGTGATTTGGGGAAGTATCTTAGGGTGAATCTCAACCATAAAAGAGTATCTAGGAAATCCTTGAATTATGTGGTTGAGAGGGTGCAATGCAGGATGTCATCTTGGAGTCAGAATGTCCTATCCCTGGCAGGGAGGGTCACACTGGCTAAATCAGTGCTGGAGACTCTTCCAGCTTATGCTATGCAGACTATTGATGTCCCCTCTGGTACCTGTAAGGAGGTGGAGAAACTGACTAGGAGATTCATTTGGGGTTCAAGCTCTACTAAGAGGAAGGTTCATCTGGTTAGCTGGAATAACATTTGCAGGAGAAAGACGGAGGGAGGACTTGGCTTGAGAGACCAAAGTCTGGTTAATAAGGCTTATGCCATGAAGATTGGGTTTGGAGTGATGACAAATTCTGGCTCTCTTTGGGCCAGAATCCTCAGAAGTAAGTACAAGGTGGATTCGGGTTTAGTTCCAATGCTGAAGGAAGCTAGAAGTAATTCTAATACTTGGAGAAGTGTTTGCAAAAGCTGGAGCCATGTTCAAGAAGGGGTGAAAATTCTTATTGGAAATGGAACTCAAACTATGTTTTGGGTTGGATAAGTGGGTACCTGTGATGGGGAGACTGATTGAGAGAGTGGTTGAACCCATTCCAGAGGATGCTAATAACTGGAAGGTGTCTGATTGTGTTGACAGAGAGGGGGGCTGGCAGTGGGAGATGTTCAAGGACTACCTGGATGAGGAGGCTGTTATAGCTATTTCTAAAATTAGACCTCCTTCTGTGGAAGCTGGGGATGATAAGGTGCTATGGAATTATTCTCCATCAGGTACATTTACGATTAAGTCTGCTTATAATTCCTTGATTGGTCAGCCTATCTTGTATGAGAAAAGAAATTGGATGCTTGCTTGGGATTGGGAGGGCCCTCATAGGGTTAAATCGTTTCTCTGGCTTCTTATTGGGGAAAATCTGTTGTCTAATGAGCAAAGAGTTAAAAGACATCTTTGTGAGGATGCTCTTTGTCCCAGGTGTTTCCTTGCTGCTGAAAATTGTAGCCATATCTTCAGAGATTGCAGTTGGGCTAGGAGTGTTTGGCAGCTATGCCTCACTGGCAGTGAGGCCAATTATTTTTGGGAAGGAGAATTTTCTGATTGGGTTGATAGGAACTTGTGTAGGAAAAAACAAAACAAAGATTGGAGGAGGCTTTTTGGGGTAGTGTGTTGGCTTCTATGGAAGGAAATGAACAATTGGGTTTTTAATGATGAGTGGAAGAATCCATCAGAGGTGGTGTTTGCTGCCCATTCGGTTGTGACAAATATTTCTGTGGCTGAGTCCTTATATTGCAAAGCTGGGCTATTTGATGAGGGTAGAAACAGGGGGAAAGCTCAGTGGAAAGTGCCTCTTCCTAACTGGATTAAGATCAATGCTGATGGTGCCTGTTCTGAGGAGGGAGCAAGATTCAGTTGTGGTGGGGTCATCCGTAATGGCAATGGGAGTTGGGTGTCTGGTTTTTCCAGGAGACTAAGTGGTGGTAATGTACTGATGTCAGAATTATGGGGTGTCCTAATTGGGTTGGAATGGGCTTGGGTGAAAGGGTACCAGCAGGTTTTGGTGGAAACTGACTCGATGGATGCTCTTGACATTAGTCTTCATGGCTGTATGCTTTCCCATCCTTGCCATGATTTGTCACTCAGAATCAAGGAAATGCTGGAGAAAGACTGGGTTATTCAGATTGGTCATGTGTATAGAGAGGCCAATAGGGTGGCTGATTGGATGGCTGGACATGCATCTAATGTTGATTGGGATACTGTTTGGTTTAGTCAAGCTCCTGAGGAGTGTATAGATCTCCTATTGGGTGATTGTAGTGTGAGTAATGCCCATGTTGGATAGTTAGTTTGCGTCTGTTTATTTTCTTCTTTGTAAAAAAAAATAAGGCATATGAAAGAAAAATTCGGAGTGATAAATAACGGATTAATTTTGGCGTAAACCAGAAATAAAACAGCCCCATGCTTTTGAATACAAATTTGTAAATAAGGAAGGTGTTAATAACATGCTACATTTCCTCCTAGAATTGTACCGTTTCAAAATATGACCCCCACTAATTGTCACAATACTCCTTAATATTTCGTTTGCTCTTCATTGCTTCCACTTGTGGATGATCATCACTACGCTTCCAATTCACAATTCTATAAGAATTAGCAACATCCTTATAAAGAGAAGGAAGTTTATGTGGAAGCAAACACACCCCTTCACTTTGATGTGGTGTATAACCTCTGAGGAGGCTATGATCAGTTCACCAAATGAGTCTTTTGGATTTCATTCTCCATTTTAACGGTTTTTTTGTGTAATGTTTACGTCTCAGATCCAAAATCGTCGTGCATCATTGATGTACCTGTACCAAACCCATTCAAAATAATCTTTCGTATATGGTTGTAGACTATTTGCAACAAGTAATACGCATAAATATAATCAATGAAAATATATGAAAATCTCAGGATACCAAACAAGAAATAAACAATACTTTTATTTTGTAATTTAACAAATATTAGAGTTGAAAATTGCAATGTTTAGAACCATGAAATTACAATGAAAATACAGACCATTAGTATAGTTTTCGAGTTGAGATCCACTTTTTAAAGCTCGCACCTACTTTTGTAATGTACTCAATCCCAGGTTTCAGAATGATTGACAATTTTCTAGAGGCCCTCGGAAATGCCAACAAACAGAAAGTAGCAGTGGCTTGTGCCCATGAGCAATCATCAACAAAGCAAATTGTGATCCTCTCCATCTTTTCAGCAGTAGTTATTATGCACTTAACAAATTCAACTTCAAGTTTTTTACCTGTATAACCCCTTATGCAAATGGTCTTCAATTGGTGATTAATACATTCAAAATGCACCCTTCTCTGCCAAAAGAAATGCTTATGGAATAGCAGCCAATCATCTCCATTATCATTAAACACACTACTGTAGTGATCCATTGACTCATTCCTAACCTGTAGCAGGATAAAACTGTACGTGTCACTAAATATAAAAGGAAAATTACAAGCATTTCACTAAAGTAATCGTAAGTGTACCTTATTGTTTATTTCGAGATTCTGCAAATGAGGGCAAGATCTAAGATAATAAGAGAGAGATATGACATTTCTGACATTGTTCAAATCTAATTCAATGGAGAGAGTAACCAGATTCTCAAATACATTGGCGATGCTTGAACTCTGAGGACTCTGCAAAAAAATAATAATAACAATAAATAAAATAAACAACTTAAATTGTAGAATATGTCTATAAATAATCAACTTAAAACGGAGGTATGAAGCATATGTCTACACAAACTTCTAAATCAAACAAGTACATCATGAGGTTTAAATTGTAGATAACATAACGTGACACAGTCACAACATCTCAATTGCAAGCAAATGCACACAGGATAAAACTAGACACAACCACGACACAGTCCTAACCAATTAGTGAAGTATAGACTGGTGGAGAATAAATACTCACTTGAATATCACGGCAAGCTTCTAGAAGCTCCATTGAGGTCAAAAGCTTTTTCCCAGATGCAGAATAATAACGCCTTTCAAATTTGAAATCATTGTAACAACGGAGAACCTTAAGTTTTGGAGCCTTTAAATCCAGTCTTTGAGGGTTAGAAACAATGGTATCGAACTCTATGACATCAAGGTTAGCAGCAGAAATCACAATCTCATTCACAGTCATTCTACAAATTTTAAAAAATTTGAGACTTGGACAGTTGATCTTAACCTCTTTTCTGAAACCACAAGAGTCAAGAGTTAGATTTTCAAGGGATGAACAGTTGGAGAGAATCCCTTGCAAATCCACTGGCGGCAAACTCACTTTAATAAATGTTAGGGTTTTTAAAGTTTGAGGAACATCAACAGAGGGTGAAGTATTAAGGTAATAATTCTTCAATTGAAGCACCTCAAAACCTGAAAAAATATCAAAAGGCAAATCGAGAGTCATTCCATGTTCTTCCAGTCTACGTTGTCCATTTTGTATACGAAATGCATTAAGAGGGGATTCGCGTTCCATGGAAAGCTCTCTCACCCCTTTCTGCTCCAATAGCTTCCTCATCCACCCCACAGCTTCCCCACTTGCACAGCTCTCATCCATGTGTCGAATCTTGCAACTTGTTAAGGGACCAGAGTGAGTATCCAAGATTGAATTGATCAGCATGGCTGCTTGGCCAATTGCATCTGCATCTCCTTCCTCTCTAGGCATTACCTTACGACGCAAAGCTGTTTTAAGACGCTTGTATGGGCTCGTAGTTTGAAGATATAAATCGATAAAAGGCCGTAACATTTGTCTCTGATCGAAGCTGAGGTGGGAAGAGTGCATCCATATTGATTTCCAGCGTCGCGAAAGTATGCTGGTTCTCACACCTTCGGAGCCTGGAAGGAGGGATATGATAGCAGCTAGGAGTTCATCAGGAAGATTGCTAATGAGATCTACTCCTTCATTTGTACTCATTTTTTTTTAGGCTCTAGGCTTGTAATCTCAATGAGAGAAAAATGGTGGGTGGAACGAGGGAGAAAAATGAAAATAGGAGGGAGAGGGAGTAGCACAAGGGAAAAGATGAAGCTTTGGTGAAAAAAATAACTGAATAGATGGGTGCGAGGGATCGATATCGTAGCGATAAAAATTAGAAGGAAAAAATATTAGGGGAAAAGGAGAATGATTGAAGCGCTTGTGAGAGAAGTTAGGTCAAGAAAAAAAAAAGGAGGGATAAGGGAAGAATAAGATAAAGATTAAGAAATAAGAGATAATTTGAAAAGAAGATTTTGATTTGTTAATTCATTGATTCCTCTTGTGATTAATGGACTATTTATTTATAGATGAGGTAAAATATCCAATAACATAATTCGAAATGAAATAACTAATTCTGCTAATGAGATAAGATCAGACAAACTTAAAACTAATTAAAATAAAAGATAAATTGCTTACCAAAAAAATAAAAAGAAATAAAAGATAAATTAAATATAATTTGAATTTCAAATGACAGTTGCTACCGATATTGTGGATATGGATGGAATCATGGAATAATAACAAGAACTCCAGCATCAGGAAAAATTTCCTCAATTGCAGCTACAAAGGAAGCAAAGATACGCTGAACGTTTAGATTAGCCCGTCATTACAAGCAATTGACATCCTGTCTTCAAGCTAACGTTTTGATTGACCCGTACTTGGACTATTAACCCGGTTATTTGAATTTCATATCTTTGTTTCACATTTATGATCTTATACGAAAATAAAGGGTGTATTGGATTAAGATTTCAAAGAACTTTAATGAATTATTTTTGGACAAAAAAATCCGTTGCTATTCGTTTAAAATTTTAATGGATTGAAAAAAAGTTACGTGGTATTCGATTAGGATTTTAAAAGATTATATTAGAATCGGTCCAAATCTGTTGATATTCAATCAAGATTTTAAACCTTGGAATCACAATCTCGTGATATTCAAAAATCCGACGATTTTAATGGATTTTCCATTGGTGTGGATTTCGTGAGACTTTTTAGTAAAAAATATAGATAGGATGCCTCTCACAATCTCTTCACAACCCTTAGGATTCCTTGAGATTCTTATATTATAGTGTTTTCTTCTTCCTTTGGCAGGAGGTTGACCGCCCGAAATTGGGTTCCGCCATAGGAACTTCGTCAAAACTAAAAAAATAAATATATTTTTGAGCTATTTTCATCATAAAACAACCCAGAAACAACAAATCAACGAGATTTTAATATAATCTATCTAAAAAATAACATATTTTTGAGAAATTTTGGAAGAAAAATGATTTTCAAGCTATGGGTCGCGGTTTTCCTTGGCACAAAAACGTATTAAAAACAACATAAAACAGTGAAAAGATAACAGGGAAACTAAAACCCTCAAACCAATTTTCGTTTTACATCAATGAAACAATATCAATTTAAAGAAAGATTGAAACTTACATAATATGAACTATATATTTCGTAACAATACATTCATGAACGAAATTCCTTCACTATAGAAAGTGATTTCAAACAATTTTTGTGTCAATAGATGACTAAAAGCTTGTTTCTCAAAAGCCCCAAAGCAATTTAAGATTTCAATGTATCGATTGAAAAAAAATTGAGAAATTTTTCAGATTCAAAATTTTCTTTGAATATTCAATGAAAATATACATATGATATATGGTTAGAAAACTAGCATCGCGTAAAATAAAAACCCCAAGGTTTTCAAGATCAATTGCAAAAAATTCCAAACGAAATTTTATCATGAACTTTAGGTTCTATATGCAATTTTAGAATTATTTTTATAATTAAAAAAATTGGTTCTTATAATCATATATGCATAGCTTTGATACCAAATGAAGAAGATAATTTTCAACCCATTAGATATGTGAAAAGCTGTTGTTTACTGATTGAGAAAATTATATTAGGTTTTACTTTTTTTATTAATGTCATTGCATTTTTTTGGTTTTTTATGAGGGAGATTGTATTTACAACCTATTTTTGTTTACAACCTTTTACAACCATATCTTAACAGTTGATTTCCGTCAACAAACGGTTATTATTTTCGCAAATCAAACTCATTAATTAATATTTAATTTACAATGAATGATAACCGTTGATTGACGAAAATCAACGGTTAAGATATTATTGTAAAATATTGTAAACAAAAATAGGTTGTAAGTATAACCTTTCCCTTTTTTATTGACTCTTGTAATTTTGAATGTTTGTTAAAAATTCATATGGTTTTTTAAAATCTTATAAATCCGTATTGTCCTTTCAAATCTTATAAATTCTATTAAAATATTTTAAAATCCAATCTTATGAAATCTTGATTGTAAAAAAAGTCTTTTGAAAAAGTCTTTAAAGTCTTCCCAATTCTAAATAGTCTTTTAAAATCTTTAAGATTTTTTAGCTCAAAAAAATCTTTTAAAATCCTAATCCAATACATCCCCTTAAATATAACATAGTACTATAATAAATTAAAATTTATTTCTAGCAAAATAAAAAATATGTGATTGAAAATTTCAATGTTCCACTAATATTATATTTTATTTGAAATTTAATTCAGCAAAATCGAATAATAATAATATTTAAAATGGATTACAAACATTGAATGTATATATATATATATATATATATATATATATATATAATGTTTCTTATGTTGTAGGAAATAATTTTATCTAATACACACGTAAAAGTGTGTTGGATCTAGGGGTGTAAATGAGCTAGGTCAACCACAGGAACCTATTGCTTAGCCTAAATCAGGTCAGACTTAGCCTAACACATATAACCGAATAGAATAAGTTTAGGGTATTGAAAAAGTTTATTTAGAAAGCAGACTAAAGGATTTTTTAACATGTTGGGCCTATAAGTATACAGGTCGGCCTATAAGTAATATTATTTTAATTATTTTTTTATTATTGAATGTTTAATAGACTTAAACAGGTCTAGGCCAAAGCTTTGATTTTTTAAACATAGGTCAGGTTAGACTTATAATTTGGGCATACACAAGATTAACAGGTTAGGTCAGCCCTAAAGTATTTTACACAGGCCTGACCTATTTAAGCCAAAGCCTAGTAAAGTCTAGTGTAACACTCCCTCTATATCCGATTTGTTATCATATCATCGTATTAAGCGTTGCTTAATAAAATGCGAAATTAACTTTTTCTTTTCAATTATGACGTCATTAACATTAACCAAGTTGATTACTTAATTCTCTTTCCAAAACATTGCATGTATGTAAATTGCAAATAAACAGCTATCTACACTAAATAACCTCATATATAAATAAGTGAGTATCTACATCACGGAACTACAACACGTAGTCCAGACCATAATCCTGATACATTATACAACTCGAAACTAAATCAACAAAGTAAAGTCAATGTGGCATGGACAACCCCCATGCTCACCAAATAAGGCAACAAAGCCCAACATAGTCTCAAATCAAATAACATGGTAATAAATGTAAATCATGTCAGAATCCAGCACATCATCATAAAAGCATAAATCTCAACTTAGCTCCGGCCTTCTGCCGCCCAAAGTATCAACCCTTGTGTTACCTGAACTTGAAAATATGCCCCAAACGTGAGGTGAGATCTCTAAACATAAATCTCAATAAGACAAGGGGTCCTCAATGATTTCTCCACTCCAAGCTCACTTACATGTGCAATATAAGTTCTAAAATAGTAAAACAATATAAGTTCCAAAATCAGTGCAATGCAGCAGATAATCATGTCATGTGTGTCAAAATATTCTACTGGCCAGAGAAATGCAGGATTTACATACGTTTATTACATACAATCAATGCAAGACACCACTTGCACTCACCCACAAAATCATCCTATTGTATGTCTCCTACATACTCAGATTTACCGTCTAGGTAGAACAACACATGCATATCATAAGGCACTTGCACATAACAGCTCAACAACATTTCAAATATCAATACATGAAAATACATCATGCATATAAACCATTCCCCATGGGGTATGGTGGAACCAACAATGGCTAAACCGAGGACACGAAAGCTTACCTCACAAGCTAACAATCCAAGCCAAGGTCCACACTAGCTCAAGGTCCACAAACAGCACAATCACAATCACAATCTGTTTTAGTCCAACAATTATATCAATATTTATATTCTAAAAATTCAAGACATAACGACAATGTCATCCTTTACGTTTCATGTCTTTAGGCTTCTCACAAAGCCATAAACCCTTAATCATTTCGATTCTGACTTAGTTACTTATTACAGAGGTTCAACTTAATCAATCTAGGATCCACAAACCCCAAATACAGTTCTGTATGAACAGAACAGTCACTGTCTCGAAATTCTCAGAATATCCGAATATTTGTCTGGGCCATATGTAAGAACCCGCAACGTTAATTTAGGAATTTAATTAATTAAATTATGAAATTAATGAGATAATTCTATAATTGACCCTAATAATTATGGGAAGGCTTAAATAATTATGGTAAGTGATTAATAATGTTGAAAGTCGCTTTTCTGACGAAAAGTGCAGATACCGTGAACAGATATCGGTTCTGCTTCACGGTATAAATGCGTACCGCTGAAGTATCCCAGAAAATTATGAAAAGTGTGTATATATTACTAGAATAATATATAGGACTAGTATAACAAGTCTGGAGTCAAAATAAAAAGAACTGATGCCAGAACTAATACTGATAGCGTGAAAATGCGTACCGAAAAAGTGTTGCGAAAAATTAAAATAAAAATATGAAAAATATTAGAAAAATGGCTAGGTTCAGAATATGAAGCTTGGGATTAAAATGATAAGCATAGCTATTAACGCTAATACTGCGCGATTAACTTAAGCACACCTATAAATACAAAGGGCACATGATCCTAAGTCAGAAAATCATAAACCTTGCGTGACATTTCTGAGCTCCTTGAGGCAGCCACCTTTCTCCATCTTTCTTCCTCCATTGAAACATCAAGAGACCACCTTTTCTCTTGG